GCCAATCCCCGGTGCCCAGGACGCCCCGCCCCCGCAGGCCCGGGCTCTTAGGGGCGATCCCGCTTCCCCCGGAGGCGCGCTGGGTCCCACCCAGGCCCTGGCGGCAGTCGGGGACCCCGAACCATTCATCCGGGTGCTGTCGGGTGGACGCCGGTGAGGGGCGACCCAGGGACTCTGAAGTGCCATCCAGGGCCGTGCCCCGCCCACTGTGGTCAGGCCAGCCAATCAGCGGCCAGGGGGCGTCATTGAAGGTCTAAGTAGAGGGTTCGGGGAGCCGGGCGCGGGTGAGAGGAGGCTGTCACCGAGCTCTCCGTTCCGCAAAGCGTGGTCTTGAGTGTGGGAGAATCGGGGAAGAAGGCGTCCGGGTTCCTGGAGCCCCGCAAAGTCCCAGGTGAGCCGGTAGAGTTATCACGAAGACCTGGACTCAGGTTCGCAAACCACAGGTTGTCAGTGCGAAAAAAACACAAAGGCGGACTGAAATGGATCAGCGACACACGTTTCACTCGCCGAAACAAGCCCAAAGCAGGATGGGGCTGCTAGTTAGTGAGAAAGAACAATCCGTTGAATGCGATGAAGACTTCTTTATGTTGTTGAGATGTTCTTTAACTACCAGTTTAACGATTTTGTTAGCAAAGATAATATCAAGGAGAAAGTTACGGTCACCAATACAAGCTCCGGAGCTAAGGGCTAGGTACTATACCCAGCATCACACTGACCCTGTGGCCTGTAACGGGTGGTCCTAAATCTTTGTAAGCCTTAATGTCCTCATCTCTAACGTGAAGATTATTGACATACTTCAGAGCAGCTTTTCTCAAACTTGTTGATCTCGGGATTCCTTTGCATTCTTAAAAATCTTTAAAGACCCCAAGCAGCTTTGGTTTATGTGGGATATTCACCAAGTTAGAAATTAAATTGGAAAAATTTAAAAGCATTTTTTTTGGGGGGGGGTGGTGAACACACAATACAGATGATGTATTATAGAATTGTATACCTGAAACCTGTATAATTTTATTAACCGATGTCACTTCACTACATTTAATTTAAAAAGTTTAAATATTTATTAATTAACCTAAAACAATAATAATAAACCATTACATGTAAAGATAATATATTTTATGAACTATAACTACGCTTGTTAATAATTATTGAGTAGAGCAGTGGTTCTCAACCTTCCTAATGCCGCGACCCTTTAATACAGTTCCTCATGTTGTGGTGACCCCCAATTTCATTGTTACAAATTGAACATAATTAAAGCATAGTGATTAATCACAAAAACAATATGTAATTATAGATGTGTTTTCCCGTGGTCTTAGGCGACCCCTGTGAAAGGGTCGTTTGACCCCCAAAGGGGTCGCGATCCACAGGTTGAGAACCGCTGGAGTAGAGTAACATTGTATTACAATTTTGCAAATTTCTTTAATGTCTGTCTTAATAGAAGACAGCTGAATTCTCTGCTTCCCCATTCTCTGTTGTACTATATTATTTTGGTCTAGGAAATGAAAATCCTGTCTCACATGGATTTTTTTAGCCTTCTCGGACTATTGTGGATATCTTTCTTTGATACTAGCAAAACTCAACAAATGGTAGTTTCTTAAAGGTTGGTTGCAATGGGGTATCTGAAACCATTTGGGAAATACTGGTTTACTGAGTTATACAGATCTTCCAAATATTGATGCATTTCATTCAATATTTTTAAAAATCATATTTATTAAAATAACCACTGATATCATCAGTTTTGTGAAGCTGTTAATCTCACTTTGGTGAATACCATATTTCCCAAGTTATCATTTTGGCATGAAAGCTCAAATACTGAAATAGAAATATTTTCCTTGAATGAAAGCTTATTTCATTCAAATATCCAAGTCTGAATAACCATAGTTTTTCTGTCATTCATTCTTTAAAAAAAAAAAAATTGTGTTCTATTATAAACAGCAGCTAGTTTAACCCAGACATCTCAAACAATTGCACAACCTTATATATTTCAGTAAGCAGCAGAAGTCCTTTATGTACATCTTCCATTTCATCACAGAGAACATTAAAAAGACATATTCTAAGAAAGAGATTTCATCAAGTTCATAATTTGTACCATCAAGGGTAGTCTTAAGTGAAAGTAGCCTTTTAATTCTTTTTTTGCATAAGTATAGCAGTGAAGAATGCAGTGACTCTGCTATAAGTTGATGCCACACTGCCTTGATTCATGCTAAGCTGCCAGCAGTTTCACCCACTGTTACTTTTGTGCCATCAGTGAAAATGTCAACACAATGTAATGTCTTAGTATTACCAGGAAAATAATTTTGACCATTCAGACTCTCTGAAACTGTCTCTGGCACTCTCAGACTCCATGGACTACACTTGGAGAACCACAGAGTCTATCTGCAGTATGTATCCATTCACTCAGCGAATATTTATTGAGCCCTTTCTATGAGCTGAGAACTGTTTTTGGCAGTGAGCCAAACAGAAAAATATTCTGACCTCCTGGAGCTGATATTTTAAAGAATATACCAACAGCCCTAGCCGGTTTAGCTCGGTGGATAGAGCGTAGGCCTTCAGACTGAAGGGTCCCAGGTGCGATTCCTGTCAAGAACACATACCCAGGTTGTGGGCTCGATCCCCAGTGGGGGGGCGTGCAGGAGGCAGCTGATCAATGATTCTTTCTCATCATTGATGTTTCTATCTCTCCCTCTTCCTTCCTCTCTGAAATCAATAAAAATATATTTTAAAAAATATATACAAACAAACAAAAAAGAACATAAGGGCTTAGCTTTGCATCACCCACTTGGAATATTAATACATTTATTGAATAATTTGAGTGTAATATAGGTTTCACAAACAGTTGATCCCCTATCTCGAGCTTATTTTGTCAACAATTTCCAACACTTGATACCAGGGCCAATCCTGATCATATCAGAAATGCTAGCAAATTATATAAGTACCTCTCCAAGCAGTGATCCCTTCTCTTGAGAAAACTAATCAATCTCAGGGATATGGGTGCATGATTTGAGAAGTGTAGGTTTTATTACCGCCCATTATTACCTGGCAGTCACGTGAGAATCAGACTGATGGGGGTGGGAAAGTAAGAGCTCTTAAGTGTATTTGCCTCTTAAAAGAGTGCTTGTTAACCCCAAATGAATAAATCTTTAACAATAGAATTTCAAAGTAGTAATCAAAATGAAACAAAGACTCACACCCATTAGGATGGCTACTTTAAAAAAAACAATTGGAAGCATCTAGAAAGGAGAAATTGAAACCCTTCTGCACTGTTGGTAGGAATATAAAGTGATGCAGCCACTGTGGAAAACAGTACAGCAGTTTCTTAAAAAAATTAGAAATAGATTTACCATAAGAACCACTCCTGGGTATGTAACCAAAAGTACTGCAAATGGTATCTCTCGAAGAATATGTGTGCACCCACGTTCATAGCAGCATTATTCACAACAGCTAAAATGTGGAAGCTACCTAAGTGTCGAACAGTGAAGGAATGGGTAAGCAAAATGTGATGTACACATACAATGGGATATTCTTCAACCTTAAAAAGGGAGGAAATTTTAACACATATGGCAACCATAATGTTCTTGAGAACATTACGCTAAGTGAAACAAGCCAGTCGCAAAAAGACAAATATTATAATTCCACTTACGTTGTTAGGGTCAAAAATAGAATATTGGGACTAGCTATGGTTATGGGAAATATTAATCATGCTCTGTTAACCATGATTGCCTAATTCTGATTAAAGAAAGGACATTCTAACCTGGCTGGGGGTTGTATGCCTCTAGGACCTGGGAGTCAACCTTGGAATGTGGTCCATTCTCATTCAAGAACTGCCTATTATCATGGAAAGATTAACAACCTTATCACCCAATCAATGGAATCCCACCCCAGCCTGCATTGCCTACTTCCCCATGCCTGTTTAATGGGTATAAAGTTTCAATTTTACAAATGAAAAGAGTTACAGAGATGAGTGATGGTGATGGTTGCACAACACTATGAATGTATTTAAGACCATGAACTGTACACATAAAAGTGGTTGAGATGGCAAATTATTTATATATATATATATATATTATTGATTTCAGAGCCAAAGGGAGAGGAGAGAAAGATAGAAACATCAATGATGAGAGAGATCATTGATTGGCTGCCTCCTGCATGCCCGAGCCCAAAACCTGGGCGTGTGCCCTGACTGGAAATTGAACCTTAACCTCAATGTTCACCCACTGAGCTATGCTGGCCGGGCTTCGCTTACTTTGTAAGACTAACTTGAGTCTCTTGTTTATGCCTCTGGAAATCATAAGCAAAATTTGAACTGTTTCCCAAGATTGATATGAGGTAAGCACTGACCAATTCCCTATCATTTAAGAAAATCCTAGTATTGTAACTAATAACTGTGAAGAATAAAGAGTCATTGCTTTCCCACTAATGTAATGCTTTACAATAATATACCTCTAAGCCTCATTCCATGTTTTGGTTTGAGTGCTCCCAGTTTACAAATTGTCTTTCAATCTGTGTGCACAATAAATGTTTACTAATTATTACTTATGATTCATTGGTTTTTCTTTGGCTATTTCTGAACCTTAGACACAAGCACGGTTTCTGCCTATTTCTGTTTCTTTGGGGTGACTGGTGGAGTGCTCATGAAGATAAGGGGATTCTTTGCTAATGCTATCCTTTGGCACAGCTAATAAAAAGGGTAAATTCAAGATGCCATGATGACACCTACCAGAGGGACCTAACAGTCTAAAGCAAGCACGTCAAATTCACTGCCCGTGGGCCATATGCGGCCCAATAATGAATATTTTTGCGGTCCAGCCAATATAATGGTATGTAAAAAACGTTTTAATAAAAATTTTGTAACTTAATTTTTACAATATCCTGTTATACATAATTATTAATAATGAACTACAGTGTTCGCTAATGACTGATTACCATAATCGTGTTGCATTTATTTCCCTGATGGGCCTTATTCGCAGGCACACCATTTCTCTCCACTAATACTAGCAGTGAATGCTAGTATTTTAGCAGCCGATTGTCCCGTCATTAGTCTTGGAATGACTTGTTTGGTGTGTGCAACAGGAGATATTTCGCTTTCAGAGAACAGAAAGAGTAGGTTTATTTGCGTCACAGTTATTAATTTGTGCAGTTCTTCAGTGTCTGGTAAGTTAATGTTTAAGAAAAAGTATTTTTATTTAAATGTTCTATTATTTTATGTTAATGATGACATTTATTTCAGCCCTTTGTATTCAGCATGTCTCTATCGAAATAAACCTACGTTTCTATGAAAATTGAAGCTTTTGTTTCTTAGCGGCCCACATAAACTTAAACCTTGTTTATTTGGCCCATGTTAGCCTTTGAGTTGGACATGCTTGGTCTAATAAGTCAGGGAAGACCTCCAAAGGAAAGTAATCTAAAGGTTGATAAGTAGGAGCCTTACAGAAATGTGAGGAGGAGGGAATTAAGGATTTCAGAGATTTTTGGAGATTTTGTAAAGTTCTGGTGAGAAACCTGTTAAGATTCAAAAATGTTGAGAATGTAAATTACTCTCCAGAAATGGCTCATCTTCTGGACCAAGCATCAAGGGACGTGCTTACAAAAGCACATGTTCTAATTTTCTAGGTAACAAAGTTCTAAACGACACTCCCCCAACACCAGGTAGTTTAAAAACGAAAACTCCCTGAAACCCTCCTAAACAGTGCGTGGCGGCGTAAGACGCGCACAGCACCTTGGGTCTTGTAGTCTCGGAGAGACTCTGTGTCCCATAGAGCAGTGCGGCAGGTCGTCGCGCCTGCGCAGTGCGGGCGGCGGGCAGCGCAGAGTGAGAAGCTCTTTTGTTCGGCTAAGGAGAGGGCCGTTGGCTCGGGCCTGCGGTACGCCGCTTCAGTGAGGGGCTCGACCGCGGCCGCCTGGCCTGTTGCTTTTCTGGGCGCCACTCCTCCGGCCCCCGCCCCCGACGGGACGCGCCAGGAGCGCAGCACCGATTCTCCTCTTGCTCTTGGGCGCTGCTCTGAGCAGCGTCACCCTTTATACCAGAAAACTGGCGGGCACTATGGGGGCCGCGCGCTGGGAGTCGGACGGCGAGCGCCGGAGGGATGAAGGGGGCGGGGCGGCGCATTCCGAGGCGGACGTTGGAGAGGTTCGGCGTGGGCCTAGCTCTGGCGGGTCGCTTGCTCTTCGCGCCCTGGGTGGACCCAGGTAGTGTTGCCTGGACTGGGTGGGCTGCAGGATTGCACCGGAGAGGAGGGACGTGGTGGAGATCGGGGAACGGGTCGGGCCGGGCAGCCTTAACGCTTGGACATTAATGCGTTTGGAGGGTTCACAACGGCCAGAACCGAGGCTTAGAAGTGTAACCTGAGAATTTGGGGTCTGGTCGGGGCTCCCAGAGGCATTCCGCTTGCAAAGTAACTTGGAGTAAGTTGTAAAGGGTGCTGCGCAGCCCAAGGTGCGGAGGGATGGGTGCGCAAACTGGTGCATGCCATACGTTGGGAAGGGGCGAGGAGGAGGAGGGGGGAGAGGAGGAGGAGGAGTTAGTTGCCTGCCGTGGCTCTCGAGGCGGAAAGAGCTGTGAGCGCAGGCAGAGGGGAGGTTCGAGGGTGTATCCGTAACCGTAAGGTCTTGAAGATAAAAGGGGAGACCTGGCTGCCCTTCCTTCCAGGTGGGTCGCGTGGGGAGGCTGAGAAATGATGTGTGAAGAAGGAAGGGTGGTCGGCGCACGCATTCTTCCCTCTTCAGGCCTTCTGCTGCCTAAACTCCGTGGTTCCTTGGGAAGTGGAAAGTTCAAGGGCAGCCCTTTCAGCTTTGGTTCTGAATTCGTTTCTTAACGTTTTTATCTGGGATGGTTACTGGTCGGTCACACAGGGCAGTGAAATGGTAGGAATATGTAGATGAGCTAACATTTAAGGGGTTACTACGTTACCGTTTGAGGGATGTGGGAAATTGGGAGACAAAGCGGGGAAAGTTCCTTAGATCGTCCCACCCCACCCCCAGCCCCTTGGGCTCTTTGTGTTGTTGTTGTTGGGAAATTTGACTACAGAGTGAGCAGTACTTTACCTCCTTTTCTAAGCTTCAAATGAAGGTTTTTTCATGAATTTGTATAATATTCGGGCATATGTTGGTTTAACTCAGTTGAGCCGAAGCTGATTCAAAGATCAGTTACACAGAAGCTCCGGCTCAGAGGAGGGAGCCTCCTCGGTCACGGTCACGGTAAGAATCATGGCAGCAGCTTGAAATAGTCCTGGAAGGCCCCTGGCTGCGGGATAGATGCGTGAATACAACTGGGGAAGTAGTGCTTCTAGACATTTGCATGGGAAGTGGTATGACTGAAGGACACCTTGTTGGAATCAGTTGCCCCTTAATAAAACATCAGGAGTGTGAAGGCTCTTCCGTCATTTCTAACTTCCCCTGTGGTTCTGTTCTTTTCCCATTGGATGCTGTAGCCTAAATTGTTTTCTTTATCATTAAAAATGTAAATAGTGTGTAGCCAGGTGCTTCTAGTTTCTTGATTAAAGAAGACCAAGCAAGGATACCCTAGTCTTCTGTATTTTTGACTACAGGATACTAAAAAACTTCTAACCATACATGGAAAGAAAAGAAGCAACCATTATATCTTCCAGTACCCATGTTAGTGAGTAGGAAGATGTTTCTTTCTGAGTTCACACCATTTAAAACGGGAATTGATGCATTTTTGTCATTTTCTAGTCATTTATATTTCAAAATCTCCCTTTTTCGTATTCTATCTCTGGTGGTATAACAGATTTTGCCTTAGACTTGATAGGTTTTTCACTTCATAATAATAATAATAGCCATTCCGTTTAATAATAACCAATACATTGAAGGCCTAATAGAACTGTGGTATTGGAGTGGTTAGTGTCAGTAATCTGGTTTTATTGTGTTAACTGTCAATGCTTTGGTCTCTGCTTTTAATTCCAACTTAGTCATAATTCTGGTGTAGCTTTCTAATAACTTTTGTTTCATCTTAAACAAAAATATTTGCTTCATATATAGCTGTTCTGATATTTGCAGATCCCTGTGGCCTCTCAACCCAAACCTATAGTTTCACATCTACATACTATAAAGGGGTTAGCCAAGTTTCTGATTATATCTCAGATAATATTCTAATTTTGTTCACACATCAGTATTTTAGTCCTAGATCCTGGAATTAGAAGGCAGAGATTCCTTTAAAAAATAAAATCGTTGCCCTGGGTGGTTTGGCTCACTGGATAGAGCATCGGCCTGGGGACTGAAGGGTCCCGGGTTCAATTCCGGTCAAGGGCATGTACCTTGGTTGCAGGCACATCCCCAGCAGGAGGTGTGCAGGAGGCAGCTGATCGATGATTCTCTCTCATCGATGTTTCTAACTCTATTCCTCTCCCTTCCTCTCTGTAATAAAATATATTTAAAAAATAAATAAAATCCTTGTTCCCTGGATATGTGGCATAAGTTCTTGTTTTCTGCTCAGTAAAGTTTTCTGTCTGGAAAGCATTTGCCTTACAAACAGCCACAGCTAACAGACTAAAAGCAGTTTGGAAACATGAATCAGGAGGACTACAAACTGAATATACTACACATGCCTTCACCTGCCTTTTGATGATATATATATGCTCAGCAAAGGTACTTCTTCCTTGTTTTCCATTTAGGGTTAGTAGGTTAGGTGTATCTTGCTGATCATTCCCTAAAAAGCTGACAGCTTTGAACTTCTGTTCCCTGGTTATCTGAGTCTGAGACATTCATCTTTATTGCCCATGTAGGGTTCAACACCTTACACGGCGCCAGACTTACCTTTGAGTGTCTTAAGTGGAAATAGAAACAGAATGCTTTGGGAAATGCAAGGAAAAGAGAAATAATATTCAGCTTGGTTGGGTAGGGAAATAATATTTCATTTGGTTTAGCTTATAATATTTAGCTTCTTAATAGTGAGCACGGCCATGCATGGAGAAACGTGCAGGGTATGTTCAGGTTATGGTTTTCTGTTTTGTATTGTTTTTAAAATATATTTTTATTGATTTCAGAGAGGAAGGGAGAGAGAAACATGTTGAGAGAGAATCATTAATTAGCTGCCTCTTGCATGCCCTGAGGATCAAGCCCACAAACCGGGCATGTGCCCTGACTAGGAATCAAACAGTGACCTCCAGGTTCATAGGTCGACATTCAACCACTGAGACATTCAACCACTGAGCCATGCCAGCTAGACTGGTTTTCTGTTTTGACAGCAGTGTAGGTTTTATGAGGGAAACAGTAGTATAGAGTGGTAGGAGCCAAAGGATGTTAGATGTTAAATACTGTGGAGTTTGGACTTTAAGGAGGAAGAGGCCTTGTACACCAGGAATCGAACCGCATCCTCCTGGTTCATAGGCTGATGCTAAACCACTGAGCCACACAATCTGGGCTTACCTTTTTATATTTTACTAGAGGCCCGGTGCACGAGAATCATGCATGGGGGTGGGGGGTGGGGGCGAAACATCTTCGCGTCCCTCAGCCCAGCCTGCTCCCTCTCACAGTCAGGGAGCCCTGGGAGCCCTCATAGCCGGGAGCAGTGACTGAGGGGGAGTGCCCTGACCACCAGGGGGAAGCTCCTATGTTGAGCATCAGCGCACATCATAGCAACTGGTTGTTCTGCCCATCGGTCGATTTGCATATTACCCTTTTATTATATAGGATCTTTAGGTCCTGGCCTTGTGTCTTACTATTGGGGACTTTGGGAAATTTTCTTTGCTTCAGTAAGCCTTAGTTTCCTTATTTGTGAAACAGGCTTAAAAGAGTTGTTCTGAGGATTGAATTAAGTGCCTTTATATGCATTAAGTGTTAAGTATTCAATAAGTGTTTAGTTGTTATTATGTTATTGTCACTTAGCTTTAAGGGATTCGCAAAAGCCTGTACTTCTTGGGTGTCCTTATATTCTGCTAGCCTGACCAAACAGCTCCATTTGCCTGGTTCTGAGAGGGTTCCTGTGATGTGGAATTTACTTGGTCACCCTATATTCCACCCAGGTTCTTAGTAAATGCTGATTGATTTGATTTGGTTTTTTAAATAGATAGTATTAAAAGCTAGTAGAGCTGTAGATATAAACTTTTATAGCTATTAATTGACTAGGTCTTAAACCTAAGCTAGAGGGGGAAGGAAAACAAAGAATGGAAAAAGAGACTAGATGAAAGAAAGGATGAAGTGGGTGGTGGTGCGCACAATAAGGATCACCTGGTCACTGCCTACCTACCACTCCCCTCAGTCTAGCTCTTTCTTATCTGGCCATGTTTGTATTCCCCATAAAGCAAGCGCCTACATACCTTAGGACTTTGAGCCAACTATTCCCTAAACTTGGTGTATTTTTCTGATTTTTGCTGAGTTGTTTTGTCATTCGGTTCTCTTTAAATGTTACTTAATCTAAAGGTATTTTTTACTAATTTTGTTTTAGATGATCTTTTTAATTTTTTAATGTTAAATACAATTACTATTTGTTTTATTAATTATTTTAAAGATCTTTCTTTATTGTTGAAAGTATTACATTTGTCCCTTTTTTTCTCCCATTGACTCCTTATAGTCCATCCCCTGTCCCAGGCCCACCCTATTATCTGTGTCCATGAGGTCCAAGTTCATAACTTGTATATGCACATAAGTCCTTTGGTGGATCTCTTCCTACCCACCCCACCTTCCCTCTGAGATTCAAAATTCTGTTCCAGGCTTCTTTGTCTCTGGACCTATTTTGTTCAACAGTTTATTATGTTCACTAGATTCCACATATGAGTGAGATCATGTGATACTTGTCTTTCTCTGGCTTATTTCGTTTAGCCAAATAATCTCAGGGTCCTTCCATGCTGTCTCAAAGGGTAAGAGATCCTTTTTTTAATCATTATTATTATTTTTTTTTACTGCTGCATAGTATTCCATGGTGGTGGTAGCTATTCTGACAGGTGTGAGTTGATACTTCATTATCGTTTTAATTTGCATCTCTCTGATAATCAGTGACTTTGAGCATTTTTTTCATATGTCTCTTAGCCATCTGTATGTTCTCTTTGGAGAAGTATCTATTTAGGTCCTTTGCTCTTTTTTTTTATTTATTTTTTAAATCTTCACCCAAGGATACTTTTTTATTGATTTTTAGAGACAGAGGGAAACAGAGAGAGAAATATCAATGTGAGAGAAACACATCGATTGCTTCTATGTCGTTTATTTCTGCTCTGATCTTTATTATGTCCTCCTTTCTACTCACTCTGGGCTTTTCTTCTTGTTCTCTTTCTAATTCTTTACATTGTAGGGTTAAATCATTTATTATTATTATTATTATTGAGGTACACCTGTAATGTTATGAACTTCCCTCTCAGGAATGCTTTTGCTGTGTCCCAGAGGTTCGGGGTTGTTGTGTGTTCATTTTTATTTCTTTCCAGGAAGTTTCCATTTCTTTCTTGATCTCATTGGTAACCCATTCATTGTTTAATAACATGCTATTTAGCCTCCATGTGTCTGACTTCACACTGGGGATCAAGCCCACAACTCGGGCATGTGCCCTGACTAGGAATTGAACCCTGACCTCCTGGTTCATAAGTCGATGCTCAATCACTGAGCCACACTGGCTGGGCTGATTACGGCACTTGTGACATAATTTGGTTGCCAAGATGTTTAGGGGAGTGGCAAGTATTGTTTGTTAGAGGCTTCCTTCCCCCCAATATGCTGCAACACTGATCTGAGTTCCTTTGAAATTTTCTTGCAAGCAATTCTAATTGAGAATGCTCCTTCATACTGTCTCTGCTGGTGTTTAGAGACGGCCATCTTCAGGAAGAGGAGGCTTCCTTTGAAATAATCCATTTGGAAGCTATAAGAGAATAATTGCCCATCATATTTAAGGACACTCTTGGCTCTTCTGAAGGTACTAGATTCTATAGGAGGAGTGGGTTGCATTCTACTGAGTTTGGAAACAGTTTATTCAGAAACCTAGAGAACTACCTGTAAACAAGGGGGAAACACGCTGGGAAGCCTGGCTGAGAATCTTCCGTGTGAAGAATCCAATCTCTGGAGGCAGATGCTGGGAAGAGCCCATCCAGAAAGCTCAAGAGAAAAGTGGGAATCTGTTTTCTGCATCTTTACTTGTTATTTTAACTGTTCTTAGGACAATGATTTGAGTAAAGATGTAAATCAAGAGGTCTTACTTTAGATTTCCCCATTTAGGAAATTTTCTTTACCTAACCTTAAGGATTTTATTCTTATTCTATTCTGTGACGTACTCCCTGGGGCCATGCTAATGATAAAGGGAAGAGAGGCTTATAGTAGCTAGAGATTAGCCTGAAGCTGACCTGGCCCTTTTGGTTCATAGTAGCAGGATCAGATAGGCAGTATTCAATGCCATTTATTATTCTTTTTTAAGGATAGATCTCATTTTATTATTTTTCAAAGTAAGTTTATTGGGGTGACATTGGTTAATAACATTATAATTTTCAGATGATAGATTATAAATTGACATCTGTATATTTAATTGTGTGCTCCCCACCCCAAGTCTAGTGTCCTTGCATCACCATGAGTGAAATGCTGTTTATTTTTGTAAGGCAATTATAGATATTTAATGTAGATAACCTTGAGCCTTAAATAGCTCTGAATTTTGATGCCATAATAATAGAATACTTCCTTTTTTAAATTTAATTACTTAGAAGGGTTATTAGCGGAAAATTATGTTTTTTTGATCATCTTTAACCCATTGTTTCCCTTCCATCTATTGAGAAAGGGCATGTCTTCCAGTTTTCAGTCCAGATTAATGTAGGGAGTTATCTAGCCCTTTGTTATCTAAAAGTGATTGTCAGTTTATTTTTCTCTGCTCTTTTTAACCAAAGACTGACCATGAATCTTGCTACTGCTTCAATCAACAGTGAAAATAAGCAAACAAAGAGTAGTACTTGTTCTTGGGAAAAAAACATTGCTGCATTTATCCAAAAAGAAAATGGATTTTTCTTTACTCATAAAATAACATTTGTCATATGGCAATCAGAATTTGGAAACCTGAATAACGATCTCCCTTCAGAAGCACAACTTCTGAATTGGGCACAGTGAAGCTACCCAGGAATTAGCCAAAGGTTACATGAAGTCCAGGGATTAGTCTGTGGAAGACTCCTGGCACTTTCTCTAACGCAGCGGTTCTCAACCTTCCTCATGCCGCGACCCTTTAATACAGGTCCTCATGTTGTGGTGACCCCCAACCAGAAAATTATTTTCGTTACTACTTCATAACTGTAATCTTGCTATTGTTATGAGTTGTAATGTAAATATCTGATATGCAGGATGGTCTTAGGCGACCCCTATGAAAGGGTCATTTGACTGCCAAAGGGGTCGCGACCCCCAGGTTGAGAACCGCTGCTTTAGTGATATGTAATTATATATGTGTTTTCCGATGGTCTTGGGCGACCCCTGTGAAAGGGTCATTCAGTCCCCAGAGGGGTCGTGACCCACAGGTTGAGAACCGCTGCTCTAACGCATAGAGGTTTTGGGAGTCAAGAGAAGTCAGTCTTCAGTATGTAAATAGAGAGGAAGAGTGTTGAAAAGATACTCTTAGATTTGTGTTTGGAAGGGGGAAGGTACCTTGAGTGTTGCCTTAGGCCACACACACTAAAAGCATCTCAGAAAACATTGTTTTGCGTGCTCTGCAAAAGTTCAAAATACCTAATGGGGAGAAGTGTCTACATGTTTTTCTTACTCGACCTTAAGCTTCAGGAAGACAGGGACCATTTCTTACTCTGTTGAATCTCCAGTATACAGCAATGTCTAGAATTTTCTAGTAGCCAAACAAGTGATTTTTCATTGTCAGCATTATTCATAGACGCTGACGTGGGAATGTCTGAGTGTAAACCTAAGTAAGCGTCTGTAGGTAAGATTCATAATGATGGCCCTAGCTGGTTTGGCTCAGTGGATAGAGCATCAGCCTGCAGACTGAAGGGTCCCAGGTTCGATACCAGTCAAGAGCACGTGCCTGGGTTGCAGGCTCCATCCCCAGTAGGGGATGTGTGGGAGGCCGGCAGTCAATGATTCTCTCTCATCATTGATGTTTCTCTCTCTCTCTCTCCCTCTCCCTTCTCTAAAATCAAATATATTTATTTTTTTAAAAGATCCATAATGATGATCCTGACTTTTATGAAAAGTTTGTTATATTTCATATAGTCTATAGATGGACTGTTTCTAAAATACATTCTATCTGTACGGGCCAGTTTTAAAGTATTTTGAAATTTCTACAACCAATTTAACCAAACCAAATTGACATTGTCTTAAATTCAAACATGGTAGTAACTTCTTTATTGTTTGGATCATCTTCCATGCTCTTGATTGATTGTATCTCATTCTGGGCAACTGATCCATCAATTGTAGATTTTGGCCAGTTTTTTAGATCAGTTTTGTTGTGTTGGTATCTTATGGTGCCACCTACTGACACACATTGGTAAACCATAGGCTTTAAGCCTACCAGGAGTCAAAGCGTTATATGAAGGGCAAAAGAAAATAGATTTATAGGGGACTAGAATTTTAGCTCTGGAAAACCCCTTAGAAAGGTTGATGTATTTTAGGAATAAAATCAGGTTCTATTATCTGTGATAATTAAGCTCCCCCCCCATTTCCCCAAAATTTTCAGACTTAAAAATAAACTAAATACAATGAGAAGATAACAAGAAACTTGTGACGTATAAATTAATGGCGGCATTCAGGAAAGACTGCGTAAAGAATCTTGAGGGGACTTAAAAGAGAGGGTGTTTTAACTGGGGAGGAATGGGTTATAAACATATACAAAAGGGAAAATTAAACTAGACATTTAATAAATAGGACAAACTATTTCCCACAGTAAAAAATCAAGCCCGGTACTATCATGAAATGGAAAACAGAATAGAAAAAGTACGGATCAGGGGGTTACATGTATATGTTTGATGTATATACATTATTTTTTGGGATTGATTTTCTTTCAATATAATATATTTTAGATATGTTTTATAGTAAAAAGGGTATTGGGAACTTTTTAACTTAGAATATGTATAAAAATTTTATGTAGCTATGCAAGAGTAAGTTTTGCTGTGAGATTAGTTGGAGCCATTTTATGAACTAACTTTCTAGCTGAGTATATCAGCAAATCTCATTGTGTATTGAAGATGAATAGTCAGCACTTAAGTAAGCAACACACACTATTCAAGTCATCTATGATGTCTCTGGTTTTCTTGGCATCCATATATTCACATAACCAACAAGAGTGTGCCCTTACATCCTTTTCATTTTCTTATTTTAGCAGCGTCACCCTTTATACCAGAAAACTGGCGGGCACTATGGGGAAAAAACAAAACAAGAAGAAAGTGGAGGAGGTGCTAGAAGAGGAGGAAGAGGAATATGTGGTGGAAAAAGTTCTCGACCGTCGAGTGGTAAAGGGCAAAGTGGAGTACCTCCTCAAGTGGAAGGGGTTCTCAGAGTACGTTTCACTGACCTGGGTGAATCCATTCACTTAATCACCAGCTATTTCTCAGGAGTCTAGTAATGTCAGGGGCTAGGGTGTTTCAACGGGTGCAGTGTGACTCAGGCCTGGCCTTCATGGCTTATAATCTAACTAGGAAAATGGTCTGTATGTATAAAGCGCTATAATACAGGACAGTGGTTTCTGAGGAACGATTTTGTGTGTGGCTTTGGACTCATATACATTTGCAAGAGAAAGTACATTTTTTTGAAAGAGGCGTTTCTAAATTTTCAATTTGCACTAAAAAGCAACCTCCCTCCCACCATCCTTGACCCCAAGTAATTTTAACTTTGCTCAGTTCTTGATCTTGGGCAAAATCGAGTTACTCACTGTTAACTCCTCTTTGCCAAGGACACTGGCTGTTGTCCTCCTGTGCTTCTTTCTCCTTTTTGTGAGTGTGCTAACCTTCAGTGGAAAGTGACTCACCGTGTGCTCTAATTTCAGTGAGGACAACACGTGGGAGCCAGAGGAGAACTTGGATTGCCCCGACCTCATTGCTGAGTTTTTACAGTCGCAGAAAACGGCACATGAGACAGATAAATCAGAAGGAGGCAAACGCAAAGCTGACTCTGATTCTGAAGATAAGGGAGAGGAGAGCAAACCAAAGAAGAAGAAGGAAGAGGTAAGGGTAGGAATGAGCATTGTTACTAGCCAGCGTTCTTACTGCTGTCAACGAAGCTGAAAGCCAGCTAATTTCAGTACTTTTGTTCTGCTGCTGCTTAAATATGAGCAGCCACCTCTCAGTCCTTTTGGAATCGTAGGCTAATGCTTACAGAATATTTGGGGGCTCATTACTCTCATAAAGCCAGCCACATAATCTACTTTTATTTTATGTGAAGATTCGGGAACAATTCATTCCTGTAAGTCAGTAGCATTCAGTGTTTTGGTTTTTTGTTTTTTAATATATTTTTATTGACTTAAGAGAAAAAGGGAGAGATAGAAACATCAACAATGAGAATCATTGATTGACTGCCTCCTGCATGCCCCACACTGGGGATTGAGCCTGCAATCCAGGCCTGTGCCCTGACCAGGAATCGAACCTTGACCTCCTGGTTCATAGGTCGGCACTCAACCACTGAGCCACAACAGCCAGGTTGTTTTGTTTTTTTAAAAATAGATTATTGATTTTTAGAGAGAGGAAGGGAGAAGGAGAAGAAAGAGATAGAAACATTGATGTGAGAGCACAACATTGATCAGCTGCCTCCTGCACTCCCCCTACGGGAGATTGAGCCCACAACCTGGGCATATGCCCTTGACAAGGAATCAAACCAGCAACCTTCTAGTACGTGGAACAATGCCCAACCAACTGGGCCACACCAGCCAGGGTTCGGTCAATGTTTTAATCATTACAGGTTCAAGGTAGCTATTTTAATCCATTCTCAGTACCTTAAAGTAAGTTGTCTATTATATATATACATATGTATATATAAAATAATAAAAGGATAATATGCTAATTAGACCGAATGACCTGGACGACCAGACTATGACACCCACTGGCACCAGGACAGTCATTGCCCCATGATTGCCTAGCAGAGGGAGGCTCAGGCCACCGACCAGTGGGCTGTGGCGGGTGGGCAGGGCCTTCCTCTGTGAGGGAAGCCTGGGGCCCGGGTGCCGGACAGAAGCTGGCAGCTCGGGGAAGGAAGGCCTACTCTTGCATGAATTTCATGCATTGGGCGGCCTCTAGTGTGTGTGTATGTGTGTGTGTATGTATTATTGGTTTCGGGGGTGGTGGGGGGAGAGAAACATCAATAATGAGAGAGAATCATTGATTGGCTGCCTCCTGCACGCCCCACACCTGGGATTGAGCCCACAACCCAGGCATGTGCCCTGACCGGGAGCTGAACTGTCACCTCCTGATTCATAGGTCAACACTCAACCACTGAGCCACGCTGGTTGGGCAAATAAGTTGTTTTTTGAGGGTGATGAAGCCTTTGTTAACTTTTTTTTTGCTTTGAGTTCTATGTCCCTTTTTCCACGTGGGGAAGCCTCAAGCATTTCAGAGCTTGATGGGATAATCATTCAGAACAATTCTAAAAGGCGTGGAACCATGGTATTGGTGAAATATTGACAGAAGAGTTTGTGTACATGAATAGAGAAACAGGAGTAACTCCAGTCTGGACAGCAGCCCCACGTACTTAAAATTGTTCAATCCCTCTGGTTTTTGCAGCCAGAAAAGCCTCGAGGCTTTGCCCGGGGTTTGGAGCCTGAACGGATTATTGGAGCTACAGACTCCAGCGGAGAGCTCATGTTCCTGATGAAATGGTGAGTCTGCCACTGGCTCTGTGTGTGTGTTTTTTTCTCCCATTTGTTCCATGCCAGAGAAAAGAGCTGGACCTTCGAAATTCCAGTCACCCAGGTGTGAAATCTTTAAGATGGCATAGTCCTTCGGTAGTGACCCTCGGCCTGACTGTCAACCTGGACTCATGATTTACAGGTAGGGGCCCCTAGGATTTTCAGATGTTTGGCCATTTTTTAGGAGGTAGGAGAAAATCTAGAGTGGAGAGGGTATGGGGAGGAATCACATTTCACTTTCCTTTCCAAGTGAAAGGAAAAAATATGAAATGTGATTGAACCATCCTCCCCTTCTACCACCTCCTTAATAAAGATTAGGCTGGCCCCAGGCTCAGAAATTCTGTTAACTTCTCTGACTTAGGAAAAAATTTCTGTAGCTTTTCTTTGTCCTTAATTGTTAGATTCTTTCCCATTTGTACAGATTCTACAGTTCCAAGATCAGCCAGCAGGGGTCATACACTGAGCATAGAGCATGTCTACATTGTTCTCCATTAAGTATAAACACCAATGATAGCAATACTCTATGAAACAGCTTAATGGAAACAGTTGTAACCCCAAATTTTGGATAATTTCCCTACTCTGTCTAAAAGGAAGGCCTCCCTTTTTTAAAAAAATTGAAAATGCTTGTGCTTTTTTCCCCTCAAGTGGATCTCATTGTTTTTAAAATATATATTAGGAGTGAATAATTCTAAGCCTTTGCCTATGAAGACAACATTATAGGTGCTTTGTCCTTTGGCCAGTCTAGATCCTTCTCTGAAACTCACATTTGTACTAGCTCTTCTCTAGAAGGTAGCCAGAGACGTCTAAGTTTAACACCATAGGAAGCCTGTGTCACAGCTAGCTAAACCTGTTTTCTTCCTATGCATTCCTTGGGTGTTTACTGAACCTGACCTCCTTTTAACTGATTTATTGCTAGCCCATAAAAAAGGGGGGGGTTGGGTTTTTATGTGGGGGGGGGGTGTTTGTTTTTAAGGTGCTGCATTTGGAGGGAAAGAACTGATTCCAGGAGTTACTCAGTCCAGCTAGAGTACACTTTATTTATCTACATTTCACCTGAGTTAGAGTAGTATCTGCATGTTCCTTAAGATTACACTCCTTTGGTTGACTCACTGCTGTGTGTAAAGATTATAGCTGAATATAACCCTTTATGTTAAAGATTGATTTTGATTATAAAACCAAGTTCATTTTGAAGTTACTTTCCTGGGGGGGGAGGGGGTGAAGATATTTGTCCATTTCCAAAAATAGCAAATATTCCTATGCAGTGAAATGATTGAACTTACTTCTGAGGACATTGTTGAACAAGGGGCAGCCTGCTTCAGATTCTGATACTGTTATACTCCTTTCTCTCCCATTTTTTTGAATCCGTTATTCAGAAACATACCTTACCAGCTTCGTCCCTGATACTGTGGAGCTGTGGAGCTTTGGTTTACCCTGTTGCTGGGTTTCTGGAACTTTTGAGTGGTGCCTCATCAGAGATTCTATCATACTAGGTGCCCGGGGTCCCTCAGGCTGGCCTACGGGGATTGGGCTGAAACCGCCTCTCCGACATCCCCCACGGGGTCCTGGATTGCAAGAGGGCACAGGCCAGGCCGAGGGACCCCATTAGTGCATGATCTGGGCTGGAGAGGGACTGCGGGAGGGCTCCAGGGCATGTCTAGCCCGTCTAGCCCAGTCCCTATCAGCTGGACCCCAGCAACAAGCTAACCTACCGATCAGAGCGTCTACCCCCTGGTGGTCAGTGCGCGTCATAGCGACTGGTCGAATGGTCAAACAGTCAGAGGGACACTTAGCATATTACATAATAGCCTTTTATATATAGATATCTACTGCCTGCCCTATACTACAACTTCCATCTGAGACATTCCCAATGACCTAAAGATAGAGTACTCCTTTGTCCCTTGGAATAGATGTGATTTTTTACATTTTGAGAACGTTTTAATATTTAGAAGAATATAGAACAGTGATGGCGAACCTATGACACGTGTGTCAGAGGTGACACACAAACTCATTTTTTTGGTGATTTTTCTTTGTTAAATGGCATTTAAATATATAAAAGAAATATCAAAAATATAAACCTTTGTTTTACTATGGTTGCAAATATCAAACAATTTCTATATATGACACGGCACCAGAGTTAAGTTAGGGTTTTTCAAAATGCTGACACGCCAAGCTCAAAAGGTTCGCCATCACTGAAATAGAGAATTACATTATAGTCCAGTCATTTTCTACCTCTCAATGTTGAAGAACCATTTCAAAGCACCTGGGAGTTCTGGCATATCTGTGAGCATGGCGGGAGGGCTACAGGGCATGTCTGGCCCGTCTAGCCCAGTCCCTATCAGCTGGACCCCAGCAACACATTTTTTTGGTGATTATACCGTTACGGTATAATTATGAGTTAGCAAGAAAGTATTCACCTGCATTGGCTCTGGCCAATGTGAGATTGGTATTCAGTGTTATACAGCATAGTATGAAATCCTGTGACAAAGCCAAGATCTCTCCATGGGTCCCCGGCAGCTGGCATATGGCTTTTGGAAGAATGTGATAGTCTCTCTTCTTCTTCCCTCAGAGAGTCGTGCTTTTTCTGGCCTTTCCCAGAGGTTCAGATGTGATAGATTGAGTTAGATCACTTACCTTTTGACAAAGATACTCAAAGGAGATTTTCAACAGGATATGTACAAGAGTGTCACTTAACCAAAAGCTGTCAGTAAATGCTGCTCTGGCCGTATTAACACCCTCCCCGAGCGTATGCCTCTTACCCAAGCTGGGAGACCACTAGCACCTGGTCTCAAAGTCTCTCTGTGCTTTATTCTGCAGGAAAAACTCTGATGAGGCTGACCTGGTCCCAGCCAAGGAAGCCAATGTCAAGTGCCCCCAGGTCGTCATATCCTTCTATGAGGAAAGGCTGACGTGGCATTCCTATCCCTCAGAGGATGATGACAAAAAAGATGACAAGAATTAACTCTCCTGAGTACCAGCCCCTGTCACATCTGACTGTGGGTTTCAATGGGGAGGGGAAGGAGTTCTACTTGTCTTGATACCATAGAAGTGGCTTTGGAAGATTTGGTTTTGTGTCCAGAATATTTTCTTTTAAAAAAATGTAATTGGCAATCTAATTGAGGACTCTGAGAGACTGTTTAAAAGCTGTGAATGCCTGAGACTTACAGGCCAAGGTGTTCCCTGCCGGAGATTAATTCTTTTCCCAACAAAGGACTAAGCCAGTTGATAAGTTACCAAAGTTGCCATTTGGGGGGGAGGGGGGGAGGATGGAAATTAGTTGAGAAGGGAAAGTCTTTTATTGGAGCATATATATAGGCAGATCATTCTGTCTTAGAGGTGCTAATTCTTGAAATTGACAAGACCCTTTCTCTCCTAATTATGAAGCTATAGACATTAGCTTGTCCATCCAAGCTCCTGGCTGAGGTATTTGGGAGGAGGAGAAGGGAATGGTATAGGAGGTGTGAGAGTAAAGATAGGGGGCCCATGTTTTTAGGATGGAGAAACTCTTGGAGCCTCTCTGTTATTTGAACTTTGAACTCTGAAACCATTGGTGGCAGGGTTCAGTCACTGACAGCACAAGTTCATTGAATCACTCCAAGAGTTGGATTATTTCAAAAGCCCTGGTCTCAGGAGAAGATTAAATCACTTTCTTACTGGGGCAGTGGTTCACTTTAAGACACAAAACAAAAATCCTTTTTTTATCCCAAGAATTAATACCCAAAATGCTGTCTTGACTCATGAAATCCATCAGTTCTTGACATCATCCAGACCTACATCTAGACCTTCATTGTAAAATCCTTTTAGGCATGTGTTAGATTTCTGTGAAAACTTTGTTTAAATGTAAACTTCATACAACACTGTCAGTTTTTGTTTTAATAAAACTATATAGATTTATAATCCTTGATTTGTCTTAAGTCTTGCCAGAAGCCCTCCTTGCCTTTTATTACCTTATAGGTTCAGCCTGTTGGAAACAACTTGTACACCTGGATGGTTTATTTCTTGAACACTGTAGGCTTCAGAATCTGGCACCTGGCCTGCATCTTTGAGTGGTCTCACTATGTTAATTGAGTAAATATTTATTGAGCATTTATAATTGCTGCAGAAACTGTAAATGTTGTCACATCATTCTGTCTTTCTTACTGCTCAAAGGTTGTTTGTTTGGCACTTTGTGACCTGATAACACTTCCAAACTATGATATGTTTGGAAACATGAGTTTTTTGAATTAGGTTTGGCTCCTGGTTCATGTATTTCATAGATTTGTGTGACCTTAGCTAAATTCAACTTTCCGGAATTTTCAGGAATTAGCCTTGGATTTGATTACTGAATTAAAATATCATCTATTTTCTTAATGTCGTTTTCTGCCTATAATTCTAGAGCCAAAGTGGGACTTGACTCGTCGTTTATAAAAAGGGAAAGTGGGATTTCCATTGAGATGAAATCAGTGTAAAATATTCAGCTCCTTAGTACAAAGCATTTGTTTCAAGTAAACTGATGTGTAGATACTGTTTTCAAAATGTCTTTTAGGAGTTTGGGGGGACATAAGGAAAATTGAGCTGGGAGGCTTTTTCTTTGCAGAGGTCTGAGGGTATGTTCTTGGAGTTGGCAGCAGAAGAGCAGTCAGTAGCTAAATAAAAGAGAGTTGGGGGTGAGGTGGGCAGTATTCTGGTTCTGTTCTGCATCGTAAGATGTACTGAAACTAGCCTTCAGCATTGGTTTGTGCCCAGAATGGGCTGCTATTCGTCATTAGCCTTAACCTTTGGAACCTACTTCATTGTCATTTCTAGATTCCTGAACTCTTATAAAACTATATCATTCCAGGGAAGACACTGAAAATGATATTACATACAATGAAAATTGAAATGGAGATAGGTATCCACACTTTTGTTATCTTTATCACATTTCTAGATTCAAGTTTAAGAATAATTTTTTCTCAAGTGATTATTGAAGCCACAAATGCATGCAGAAATGTTAGAAATAACAAATATACATAGACACAACAAATTTTAGAAACAAAGTATTCAGAGAACATTTCTTCAGGCAGTGCAAAATGTGTTTGTTGGATGGCTTCAATGAAATTGCATCATCATAGACCTCTTGCCAGGACTTGGAGAGGAGATAGGTTATTGCCTTAATGACTATTACAAAAGGAGAGCTTACTAATATGGTGACAATATCATTATTGGAGATGTCCTACATTGGCAGGACCAGTGAAAGAAAAAAACAGCAACAGCCTTGCTCCTCCACTGTCTTCAGTTGAGTTTCAAGTTGGTACAGTAAATGGCCAGTATACTGACCACAGGAGCACTCTATCAACTGACAGTACTAAGGAATACTTATGCTTTTCAGTGTCATTTGAAAGTTTTGACTACCAATTTTAAATAATTTTTAACAGTTGAATTTTTAAGTTGAATATTTGAATTTAATTTCAGAGATCATCTTCTATACCAGAACTCATTCACGCTCAGCTCATTTTGGTTTTAATCCATGGCTATTTGGTGTTTGGCCATGTGTGCTCAGCAGATCTTTATAGTCGGTGGCATTGGGAACCTGTGTTACAAAGTAATTACCTCCCTCATACAGAAAGGGAAAATGATAGAGGGAATTGCTATCATTGGGTGGAACTGGAAACTTGAAGTGCAAATTTTCTGTAGTGCTCCAGATCCTGAACTGTGTATGGAGCCAGGTTCTGTTTGAGATATTAATCTGATCTGCAAGTTGGATTGTCTCATGAGGATGTTCTCATTTAAAAATTTAGAGCTCATGCCTGGCTGGCATGCTCAGTGCTAGAGCGTTGACTCATGAACCAGGAGGTCATGGTTTGATTCCCAGTCGGTGCCCATGCCCGGATTGTGGGCTTGATCCCCAGTGTGGGGCATGCAGGAAGCTGCTGATCCATGGTTCTCTTTCATCATTGATGTTTTATCGCTCTCTCCCTCTCCCTCTCTCTCTGAAATCAGTAAAAATATATTTTAAAAATAAAAATTTAGAGATGATAGGACTGAACTAAGTCCAGGCTGAGTGTTTTCCCTCCTAGAATTTGGAATACCAATATCACTACTAGGCCAGCATTCAGCTTAGTAAAGAGGAAGGATTTTTGGCTTCACTTTGCCTTGTAGTAGAAAGCAATCAAGTTAGAGGTATCCTGGTGTTCTGGAATATGGTTAAGGAAGTTTGATAGAAGAGCTTAAGATCCCCAGACAACCATCAGTCTCTGATCTGCACCTCACCCTTGGTTTGACTGTTCAGCGCTGAGGTTTTATCCAAAACTTACTGCTTTCCTAGACAATGCTCAAGTTGCTCATCTCACTTATATGAATGACTTATAATTCACCTTGGCCTTGGGAGCTTCTTGCTGAATATTGAAAGCAAATGATATCTGAAATAACGCTCCTGCTGGGATGAAAAGCATAGTTGGCCCTGCTCTGTGGTAGCAAGGACAGCAGCACAGTTAATTGACCCTTGAACAACACAGGTTGGGGCACTGACATCCCTCCCCACACAGTTGAAAATCCACATATAACCTGACTCCCCCAAAACTTAAAATACCCTATTGTTGACCAGAAGCCTTACCAATAACAGTTGTAAAACACATATTTTGTATGTTATATGTATTATATATTCTTACAATAAAGAAAATCATAAGGAAGAGAACATACATTTACAGTATTTATTGAAAAAAATCCACATATATGTGGACCTGTGCGATTCAAACACATATTGTTCAAGGGTCAACTGTAGTCTGTTTCTAAGGCTTCTTTCTTTTCTTTTCTTTCTTTCTTATTTAGGCCAGTAAGGTGACAGAACTCCAAGGTAAAGTTGAAACAGTAAGTTTACAATATATGCTGACAATTCAGTTCTATAGTTTTTGTTTATATTAAATAACTTGTGTTAAAATATTCAACGGCAGGTCTGAGTCTGCACTATGACCTTGTTGGTTTGCATGGTGGTGATAGTACCAAAGCCATGTTTACCCCACATGGATTTTTAAATCCTAGTTGACTTTGACCAGTCCTGCCCTGTTTACTGTTTGCATAGCCTGTGGTCAGACTGGGGAACTTTGGGGCCTGGCTTTGGGTCAGGGCAGAGCATTAACTATGGTCTTTCTCCACCTTTCCCCATGTGAACTAAACTAGGTTTTATTTCCTTGGTTGAACTATCATCTGTAATGAAGTAACAAATACTGTGCAGTCTGTCTCCAGTCTGCAGTTGAAGTTGGACTGGAAAAGAACCAACCTTGAGACTGCCATTGGTATTTTTGTGTGCTCTGAAAGGAAGACAAGAGTTTCTATCTAATTCTGAACACAACTCTTTAGCAAGGTCCCATACTCTTCTCAGGAGACAACTGGTGCACTGAATTCTGTTTATCGGCTAATTTAGGCAGATGTGCATTTTCACAGAATCCCTGGACAGAACAAGGACTAGAAATCAAATCAGGTGTTCAGTTTCACATGTATTCCCCAGAGTCCCCACATGGCTCCACAATGAAGTCAGAACTAGAGGCAGGGAAAATGACTAACCCCTCAGAGAGAGAAGGTAAAGGTGAAAGAAGGGTTACTGTTCTTGGTACACTGACAAAATGACACACATATTTTGGTCTATGGGTCACTATTCACTTTCCAGATGAATCGGTGGTAAGAAAACAGTCTCTCTGGATAACCAAGCACCTAGGTTTTGCTAGAGAATTTCTACACTTGGCTGGGAAAACAACTTCCAGAGAGGCAGACGCCAACCTGTACCTTATTGGCATATAGGTAGCTTCAGTAAGAAAACAGACTCTGGCTGCAGATGTCCTAAAACTACTGATTTAGTCTGAGCTGCTAAAGCTATTGCTCTGGCTTTGGCCAGGTGATTCAGTTGGGTTGGAGCTCTGTCCACAGGCACCAAGGTTGCAGGTCTGATATCACGCCAGGGCATATGCAGAAAGCAACCAATGAATGCATAAGTGGAACAATAAATCAATGTTTCTCTCCCTAAAAATCAATTTAAAAAATAAAGCTGTTGCTCTGAGTTGGTGCCTACTACATGTGGAAGGAGGCTTGAGGGTGTTTGGGTTATTTTTTTCTGCAAGGCACTTGGTATTTCCAGCTATTTGCTAAATAAACCTGAAGAGCAGCAAGGCCTGGTGTAACCTGGGGCTGTAAAAGCAGGGAATAGGGCAGCCTGAGGAAGATGAGGTTCTTTGGAAAGTACTGCCCCGCACCAGCTGTTTGACTAGTTGTTGTTTAGCTTTCCCTAGAAAACGTGAGGAGTCAGCCATGGAGGCCAGGTATTGTAGACACTGTCTCTAGATCACTATTTTACCCTTTCAGTTTTTATTTCTTCTATTTTTAATGATACTGGAATAACCCCTGCTTCATTGGTGAGATCTGCAGGGCAGGTGTTGAAACAGTCTGTTTCCATCTCACATGAATTATGATGTATGGGAAAGTGGTTTGAATGAAGCCTAGGAATGTTGAAGTTGAGACAAAGCAAGTCTTCTACCCCTACCCAAGCAGGCCATGCTGAAATTTGGTCTTTTGTTAAGGATTGAGGCCTGCTCATATCTCTTTGCCAACCCTAGACTCTCTGCTCACTTCCTGTCTTTTCACAAACCTTACTTGAGTGAGTCCTATCTTCCTGGCAGAAAAAACCTTGAAGCTGGAACACCCACTCCACCAGCCAGCAGCAAAAGAGGTCAGCCCCACAGCAGTGCTGACCAACTTGGACGGAAGCCCCATCTAATCAGCGTGATCCTAGATACAACTGTAGATCTCTCCATACGGGGACGTGGGGAAAGTGGGTGACAAAAATACTTTTCAGAATAGAGGCAACACTAGTAAAGGGGGTGAGAGGAATGTTTCACTTAAAACCTTTTACATCTCAAGCTAAAAAAGAAGTTGCAAAACAAGATAAAAGTTATAACCTAATACTGTTAAACCAAAATTTATATTTGTTTCTAGAAGGAATACAAAAATATTACTTTATGAATTTTACTTGTCAATTTATTCTTCTACATAACAATTTGTATTTTTTTATTAGCAGTGAATTTTTTAAACTTAATTTTTAGACTATTTTTGTTTTTCACTTTAAGAATCTTGGTTTTATCTGACAAATATTGCTTAATTCCTAATGCAGGAAGAGCTCTTGTTAGTATGACCAATCCTTTTCAACTAGCGGTAAGGGGAAAGATATTGTAAATTGAAGTAAGTTTAAGAAATCAGTATTACCCTGGCCGGTTTGGCTCAGTGGACAGAGCGTCAGCCTGCGGACGGAAGGGTCCCAGGTTCGATTCTGGTCAAGGGCATGTACCTTGGTTGC